GTTGGAACTTTATATGGATCCCATATATCCACATGTATCAATTGAAAAAGTTTATGTGACCTTTTTGTACTTTTAGGAAAAGGCAGTCTTCCTTGCCTAGCTAAAGGGCAAATTGTGCACTCATTATTCTATCATCACTATTCTTAAACTTCATATTAAGAATAGCTTGACTACTCTATCTGGAGCATGTCCAAGTCTTCCATGCCACAGTCTTAATTCCTCCTCCTTTGCAGAATCATTGTGTAAATTCACAGTTGCAGCCTTGGCTTTAGCCCTTTTATGCTACAAGTTGTACAAACCATCCAGTTCCTTACCAATCCCCTTTATTTTCCTACTGTGAAGGTCCTGTATTATCCAAAAACCAGGATAAAATGATATAAAGCACCTCAAGTCTCTAGTAAGCTTAGAGACAGGAAATATGTTGTATTTAAAATCTGAAATATATAACACATTTTTGATAATGTCAGTGTCACCCATCTTACTTTCTCATGTGCAAGCAATGTCAAGTGATGTACCATTAAGTAAATGCACCTTTGATTCATTTCCTAATGCACTGGGTTTATCTTATCAAGTAGTTCTCTGGTGTGTATCATGTGGTTGGTTGTACCAGAGTCTACTATTCAGTTTTCACCTTTAGCCTTGTCATCTAAGATAGAAATATTAGTTTTACCTGCAAAATTCTTAATGTTTTCACATGTGTCCTTGTTGATTAGTTTTAGGATCTGATCATACTGCTCCTGAGTAAACATGATTGGCATTCCATGTGATGTAGTGCATGTTGCTGTATTCATCATATGTTGCCCTTCTTGTGATGCTGCATTGACCATTGGGTAGGTAACTGAAGGTTGTCCTTCTTGTGTTGTAGCATTAGCCATAGATCGTTGAGGAAAACCTCTTGTTCTATTCCTCTTTTTGAAGTCAGCTGGGTAACCATGCAATTTGAAACAAGTCTCTCTAGTGTGTCCTTTATAGTTGCAGTAGTCACAAAGCAAATTACCTCTTCTAGGGTTATAGTTGTTCTATATATTCGTTCCTTTATTAGTTTACAGTGTTGTTCCATCTCCTATATCAACTGCTTATGAGAATTTTCCTAGTGCTTTTTAACTCTCTTCAGAAGCTATCATCGAGTAGGCCTTATTAACAGTAGGCACTGGGCTCATCATCAGAATTTGGCTTCTAGGTTGTGCATAAGACTCATTAAGTCCCATTAAGAATTGCAACAACCTTTGATATTCAAAATGCTCAAAATAGTTCTTAGATTCTAGGCAATCGCAACCAGGACATGGCATTAATGCATCATATTCCTCCCAAAGGTCTGTCAACTTTGAGAAGTATGAAGAAACAGAAGAAATTCCATGTGACAAAGTGGCTATCTCCTTGTGCAAAAAGAAAATACAAGATCCATCAACCTTATCATACTTACCCTTCAAATAAGTCCACACCTTATGTGCACTCAACTTATACACAATTCCACTGAGCAATCCTTTGCTCACAACATTCATTATCCATGATAATACTATACCGTTACATTTCTCCCAAAGCTCATGCAGAGATCGGTGAAATTTATCCTTGGTACAACGACCATCAACAAAACCTAACTTACTCTTTTCAATTAGACCTCTTTTCATCGATCTACTCCATAGTGCATAATTTTCAGTTCCAGTTAGTTTAATCGAAATCAAGGAGCTACCTGGAGTATCACATGGGTGTAGATACAAAGGATGATGGTGATCTATGGTTGTTCCTCTGCTGGTTCCAGTCGAGGTTTCCTCTCTAATTGCCATCGTTGACGAGTTCAATGGAGTTAATTCCTCGTTTCAGTGAATTACAAGCTCGCTAATTGCAAATCAAAAAGGAAATGCAAACCCTATCTGAATGAATCAAAAAAGGGAAAACATGAACAATCAGTAACCGAATGAATTTGCAGAAAACAGAGAATGAAGATCACAGTGAGCGTGAATCTAACTCCTGTGCTCTGATACCATAATGAGAATCTGAGATTAACTTGATAGAAGGAGAAGAGAAATGTGCGAGAAGATTCTAGAACAAGAGCTCCATTGGAGAGCAAAAATGAGCTAAGATATTTTCTCAGAATCTAATGAATGCAATGACTAATGGTCTATATATACTCACTAACTAAGGTTAACTAACTCTACTCTTCTGTTAATTCCTAACTACCATTCACATAATTAGTTATAACTAACATCCCTACTAAACTCGTTGGCTCACATGCCAATCACGTGCCACTTCTATCTCCAATAAAACAGAACCAGGAATCTCAATCACTTTCTGCTCTCAAACTTGTATGGTGCTATTGCCACTGCCTGAACATTTCAATCCTTACTTCTTTGGTCCTACAAAAAGAAGTATGCATTTGGTTCAAAAATTTGTTTGAAATTGATGGCATAATAATGACAAATTCCGTATAATCTGGGATTAATTGATTCTTTTTTTATTCGTAACTATGAGCGATCCTATGTTCCAGACCCGAGATATTCTCTTATGAGCAGTTCCAGAACTAATAGTTAGAGTACTAATTTTCTTAGCTTCGAATGTATTTTACACACTATTATTCACTTTCTTTACTGACACCTGTTGCAGTTTAATTCATGAGTTTATTTTTTTTTTCTAATACAGAGAGAGAAAGAGAGAGCCGTTGAGATGGAAAAATGTTGAGCTAAGTGTACTGGCAGGGGATGCTTCATTTATTTTACTGATGAACTCAAGACATACTTGCAGAATTTTCTAGCAATATTTCTTTCCACTAAATAATGAAATTAAGGGTGTGTTTGGTAGGAAGGAAAATATTTTTTAATTTTTTCATGTTTGATTGGCTTAAATGTTTTGGAAAATATTTTTTCCATGAACTCATTTTTCTCCAGTTGGAGGAAAATATTTTTCCTATCAAGGGAAGGGAAAATAATTTTCAAAACTCATTTTCAACATTCCCCACCCTATTTCCCATCCCCACCANTTTTTTTTATTTCAACAAATGAGTATTTTCTTTTCATAGTATAAAAAAGGTATTTTCTTTCATTTCAACAAAAAGAGTTTTTTCTTTTCATGACGTAGAAAAAATATTTTCTTTCATTTCGACAAAAAAATAATTTATTTTCATGTTATAGAAAGGGTACTTTCTTTTCAACTAAAATAAAGTATTTTCTTTTAGTTATGGAGCATAAATTTTAATATTATTTTTTTTGTAAAAAAAAGTAAAACAACACATTAGTTCTTTGGGTATGTATGAATTTTTAGAACAATAATTAAATTCTTGAAGAAAATAGAGTCTTCAAATTGTTGGATATTTTTTCTTTTTTGTTGTGTGTGTGGGGTGGGGTTGGGGGGGGGGGGGAGAGGAGAGGAGAGGGAGAGCACAAGAAACATGGGGACTTGGGAGAAGCGGGATGAGGAGAGTAGCATAAAAAAATATTTTCCTAAAAATAAATTCTACTCTCTAATCAAATATTTGAAAGTATTTTCCGGAAAATATTTTTCACTCACGAAAAATAAGTGATAAAACCACTCATTTTTCATGGAAAATACTATGAAAAATATTTTCCTTCATACCAAATACACCCTAAGTGTTTACGATTTCAAGTGTGGGTCTCTTAGGTAGGGGTGTAAAAAGAAAACCGACAAACTGCACCAACCCGATAATCCGAGTCAAACCGAGAAAAAAAACCGACTATGATTTGGTTTGATTTGGTTTGGTGTTGAAAAAAAAAAACCGACCATAATTGGTTTGGTTTGGTTTTAACTAAAGAAAGTCAAACCGAAACCAAACAAACCCGACATTACATATATAAATTTTTTAGATATATTTAATATATAAATATATTTATTGTGATGTAATTTATAAATATTTCTTAAACATTTTCATAATTTTATCTTTTAAGGTATTATTTCAAGGTTGAACTTAGAACTTTTGAATGTTCCAATAAGTTTTATAGCCATTAATATTAGTAACATAAATAATGCTAACAAAAGCCCAAACCAAAATCAAATCAATATTAATGCTAACAAAAGATATTCAATTCAATACTTCGAACAACAATGTATTGAATATCTATTTTTTGTTTTGCAATAATTTAGATAAAAATGCATAACTATTTTTATTTTTTCTTTAGTGTTTAGTCATGTAATTAATACTCCCTTATTAGTCTACTTATTTTAGCATGACTTAGTACTTTTAGATTATGTTTATTTTTATTATGGCTTTTTAATNGGCTTTTAATTAGCAATATTTATATTACATAATTTTATTGTTTTTATTGTTGAATATTTTAGGATAATGCCATGACACATCTCATTTTTTGTATAATTTTCTTGGAAAATGCCTTATATAGTTGTATCTGACTAGGATTAAAGAAATATTTTGAGCACAAGTTATATGTTTTGTGCTACGAAGATTTTACCGAAAAAAAACCCGAATAATCCAAAAACCCGAGAAAAATCGAGATTGAAAAACCCGAATTTTATTGGTTTGGTTTGGTCTTTAGATTTAATAACCCGACACAATAGGTTTGGTTTGATAATTGCAAAATTCGAACTAACCTGATCTATGTACACCCCTACTCTTAGCTATTTCTTTGTAGATAATACATGCTTAGATATCTGCTACAGAACATTAGTGATGTTTTTCTGACCACAAAAATAAGGACAATAGAAATAGAAAGAAAAAGAAAGGACAGACAAGTTGCTAGACAAGCAGTCAAATGAGATAAATGTCGCAGATCATTTAGTGTTTCCGTTGCACTTTTATCTGATAGAAATCATATATGTGGCTCAAAGTTTATGGTTCTACTTCTACCTATTGAAAGTTCTTTTTGTCGCTGGCCTCCATTATACCATTCGTTTGACAAATCCCAGATAACAAAGTAATTAATTGTTTCCATATGAATAAATACGAGAACGAATAACGATGTTCTTTACAGCCACTGAAATTTTTTTTGATCCTCAATTACAAAAAGCTCTCATTCCGTTTCAACCAAGCTCTGTTTCACAAAAATTCTTGATGCAATTGACAACACAGTATTTTAGCCTATGATAGAATGGAATACAACATATTGTATCTTTACAATGCTTGCCCTCTCCACAACATAAAAAATCAAGACATCTCTATTCATATCAACGCCTACAATCATTGGATCGAAAGTCAAGACCACACTGTCCATGCCTTATGAATCTAAGAAATTCCAATTAGCAAGTCAAATGAATTGGTGCGCGTAACCAAACACTATCATCTACAGTATAAATTATAAAACGTGTTGTCACATATTATCTGCTCAACTACTTTTGCAAGTTTAAAAGATCAATTACATACTTTATGCGCACACTGACGATAATCAGCACAATGTGAAGCGAATGCTTGAGCACTGATGTAAGTCCAAGAAACGAGTGCCTCGACTTTGAAGGTGAAGAAAGGGGCAAGGGATACACAGAGTATGGGATTTCATGAACTTATTTAATGAGTTCTAAAATTCAGACATAGTCTGTTCTCTATAAATATAGAAGACACTGAGCTTGTAACATATTATCAGCTCTTGTTTAAAGCACAATCAAGGAGTCAAATATGTCAGGTAAAGTCGTTTAATTGTTACTATGCTCTTCTTATAATAATGAACCGAACAACCACCCTCCATGTAATTTGTCCACACGCCCGGATGACGAAATCCAAGATACCTCGTCTCATGGGTCCTAACATCATAAGAGACTAGGCGAGAATGTTTAGTTGCAAAAATAACAGTGTATGGATTCCAACACTTAAACTTTGAAAAGCATTGAAAGGTAAGAAGTTTGTTCCAAACCCCTGGTTGGATCATTACCCATAAATGATTAAAAAATCCATCAACACTGTTCAAGAGGGCAATGGAGTCATCAAGTAATGTCAAATTCAGCCTCCAATGATTGGACGCGGAGCATCTGGCCCTCCAATCTCTACAAACACCTCTTTGCCAAAGTCAAAGGAAAGAATGCTACACTTGCATCTTTCCCCTTTTAGCAGCCAGTAATAAGCTCCATTCAGGTAAGCAGTACCAAGGGCTTCTATACAGTATTTATATATGAAGATATCATGATTTTCAGGTTGAAGTATTCTCCATGAGTCCCTCGAACAGGAATAGACGGCTGCATATGCTTGAGGGACCCTACGATTTCTGATGTTATCCCAGAAAGACCGAAACCAAACCACCTTATAGTCATCTGTTGTTGGGTCTAATCCGAACCCAAAATTACAGCCTCTTTGTCTGAAAGATGGTTGAAGCTTGAACTCGGGTGAAGGAAGGGGCCTCACCTCCCGGGTGGCAGGATTCCACATAGCCAAGGAGATGTTGAATATGCTGCCATCAATTACTCTCTCCAATAAAAACAAGCCATCCACAGAACCTAAAAAGTATGTCATACCTCTGAACCTCTGGAGATAATCCGGATTTTCATGTACAACTGCAGCATCTGAAATCGAAATCAAAGTGATGGGAGGGGAATCATCTGGGGCACTATGATCATAAATCAGGATTTCGGGGGGCTTGTTCTTGCCGCTCCAATTCATGTGTTCTCTGATAAAGCTACGGCTCTTGATAATCTCGTACCAGTTCTTGCAGACGCACTTGAATCTCAACAAGGACTCCACCGGCAACCTGAGTAGAATCTCCATTGCCAAATCTTCAGGGAAAGCCCGACCATCATTATCTCTGGTGGCGGCCATAGCAGTGTCGGGTACAAAACTGCAATTAGCAGATGTTTCGACGGAGTGAGTTACCTGTTCTTTCTCTTTTTATAGTAATATGTTCCGCATTCTTTTTTCCCCCCAGATATTCCCCATTCTTTTAGACTTTGGAGTTCCTTGCTCCTAGCGGAATTCCTTAATAATCGAATTATTTTATTATCATTAAATTCTACATTTAGTATTTTACTGTCCGATTCTATTTGTTCTACCTTTTCCTTTGACTACTAAGGAGTACTAATTATTTTCTACCCGTGTTGCGGGTGTGCCTAATCAATGAATATAAATCTTAATTAATTTTAAAGTGTTAAAAGTTTTGAGTTCCAACATAGTTTTCAAATAAGAAAATATTTAATAAACAAAGTATAATTTTAGCTAATAAGAATTCTATTTTTAAAGTATTCGGATGAGAGAAGAATTTCTACAAATAAAACCTTAAGTTTAAAATATTAGGAATTCTAACATAGTAATTCAAATAAGAAATTTAATTATTTAAAAATCTTAAATATTAAAAAAATAAAAAAAAACAATTTTATCTATTGTAAAATAAATTTAAAAAAATAAAAAACTCGATCACTATGGACAGATTAACTTACTTGAATCTGCGTGGTGGTTCTGAGCAGTTAATTATCTTAATCTAGATCATATGCTAGACAGCTAGAGTGTACATTAACGCGGAGTAGTCTCTTTTTAATTTTGGAGAGTTTTTGATTGTCTATTTTGAAATTTGTTTGCTCATCAATCCATATAATATTGCTCGAGAGTCTATCTTATCATAATACCCTCTCTCTTCTTTAAGTTTTAGCGTCCGCTATGTAAATAATTCTCTGGATATATTTTGTTCATATCAAATTAATATTTTTTCTCGTTTCAAGTTCATGTAAGTCTGAATTCATTAATTTTTTTACGGAAGTAATTTCATAATTTTTATAATTTGTGAAAATCAAGTTATTCAAATAAATTATACAAGGTAAATTTAAACTCCTAAATAATTGGACTTCATATCTTGTTCAAATAAGCAACTATTAAATAAGAAAATTTTAAGTTGATTTTAAAGTCCTAAGATTTAGGAAAGTTACTTAAATTACGATTTTGACTAATATAAAATATATTTTGAAAATGTAAAAAAGGCGAACGATATTTCGCTAAGGTCATTCGTGCTTTTAATAAAGTATATAAATGTGATTGAATATTAAATCTTAATAAAAATTAACATAATTATTATTTAAAAATATATTTGACTTGTAAATAATTTTTTTAAAAGTATAAATTTCTAAAAATGGTAAATGTTTATCATATTTACCGAGCTTAATAAAAGAAGAATTTTATGTGGCAGAAGTTCTTGAATGCCTTATTGTAATTTTAAAACCCTAGACGGATACAGAAATAGAGAAAGAGAGAGGGCAAAACTGTCTAGTCCACATGCAGGGTAAGGTCGACTACCATTACCGATGTTGGCCAGATGTGGATCCAAAATTTAATTTTCAAAAAAGAGATAAAGATTTTGATTCTAACGGAGATAACTATGATCATGCTAGTTGCGGTGAAGTAGGCATGGGTATTAATGTCTAAGCCCACAATAAACATAAGATATATCTTTTGTTTCGGCAAGTAGGTAGAGGTTTAGATGGAGTGAATTACCGGTCCAATTCTCACTTTTATGTTGTTTGGGTTTAGGTGTGATATTGTTTTCCTAACTGACTTCTTCCTTAATTTGTGCTCTACCGTACCCCCATGCTATTGGGGTTGAAACTGGTTAGTTAATAAATGACATTTGTGTGTGAAAAATGCTATTTGGCAGTGGGCGCGGGGCGATTGCGGTGCGGGTTTAGATTCACAAAACTTCAACCCGCACCGCATTATAAATTTTTTTGTTTTCAACCCACCCCACCTAACAAAAATCTTTCATTTTCTTTTATAAGTTCTCTGTTTCGTCAAAAACAATTTGTTCTGTGCAATTTTAATTTACTGAAGTTTGCTAATTTAAGTCAATTACCAAATCTTCTCATCTATTTTTTTGGTCGTTGAACTGATATCTTAGCTATGCTATTTATATATTATTATTTAATCTTAATAAAAATTCATACTTTCAGATTTGGCTACTGGATTGATTTTGTTTTCTCTTATTGCTCTTTTAGTTAATAGCAACAGATTTATTTCAAAACGAAAAAGGGAAAAAAAACTTGAATGAAAAAAGAAAAAGTGGAAAAGAAAATTCAGATTTTTCCAGTTAATACTATAACCACGGCCTTCAACTATTAAACATCCAAAATCTCATTTTAAAGAAAAGTATGACAAGAAATGCTTCAACAGTCTATATACTCACCGGCAAATTTGCTTGAAATTGAAAACCCTCCTCACATTATTTTTAACCCGCAACCGCCCCGCAACTGCTTTTAGTTTTTAGAAGAATGTTCAGACCCGCCCCGCCCCGCACCCATCCCGCATTCATCTGCACCCGTCCCGCCCCGCATGATCTCAAACCCGCACCGTACCGCCCCGCACCCACACCGCCCTATTGCTATCCCTAGCTGTGTGATACACTACTGGCTGCAATATAAATAGAGCCAAAGCCTCAAATAAAATCTCATCCTTGCATACATATCTTTGAATACATAACAATATTACCGGTAATTACCACATTTTCTACTTTATGGTCTTCAGATTTAGTTGCAACACATTTACGTTTCAAGCTTCTTACTTTTTGTATCACTTGGCCAAAGACCATGGATGAAGAACTGTTTCTTAATACCAAAGATTTCAGTGACATCTCACAAAATGTTGGGAGCCTTGCCAGCAAGTTAGTGTCGAGAACTACTTGGTGTTTATTTTACGCACTGCATTAAAAAACATGTTGTCAAGGCCCCATACACTTTGTGAGATATCACTGAGAACAGGAAATACTGCAAATTAGTATTACGGGGCGATTCTTCATTCATGGCTTGTGGCTATGTGATGCAAAAGGAAAGCCTGACATGTCGATGTCCTGTACCTAAATATGACGACTAAAAAGTAAAGAATGTGGTAAGTGCTTGAAATTAAGACTAGCAAACGTGCGTGCTGAGTTAAGGTCCATATTTGCCGTGTTGTAATCTTAAAAAAAAGTTATATTTGCCCTTCATTGATATATTTATCGTTACCGTTCTATTTGAGTATCATATTTACCCATGTACTCTTCAAAAGGGTTATATTTGCCATCCGTTGTACTTTTTTGACATATTTATCCTTACAATTATACTTTAGGATCATATTTGCCTCTCATATGTTAAATCGCCATGTCCCACCTTTGTTTTCATACATGGCGCCTATGTGGATTTCTTTTTCTTCTAATTTAAATATGGTCACCTATTTAAGATAATTTAACCCGCCCATGTCCCACTTTAGGAATGACAATTGTGTTGGATATCTATTTTTTTAGTTTTGTATTGATTTATAATGAAAATGTATAACCTAGTTTATCTTTTTCTTTATGCTTAGTTGTGTAATTAATAGTACTTATTTTAGCACGACCTATGTAGTATTTTTAAATTATGTTAATTTTTATTATGGTGTATTAATTAGTATAATTTTTTTTTACGATTTTATTATCTATGTTATTGAATATTTTAGTACAATGTTATGACTCATCCCATCTTATTATTTTATTTTCTTGAAAAAATTATTATATAGTTGTATCCTATTAGAACTAAAATAAATATTTGGAGCACAAGTTACATATTCTATGTTATTAAGACTTTATTGGGAAAAAATCTGAAAACCCGAAAAAAAATAAAAAATCCGAGATTGAAAAATCCGACTTTATTGGTTTGGTTTGGTTTGATTTATAAATCTAAAAATCCGATACTATTGATTTTGGTTTGGTAATTGAAAAATCCGACTAACCCGACCTATGTACACCCCTACTCCTAAATATTAAAGAGAAATAAATTAACATATACGAAGGTGAAATAATTAAATAAATCAATTAGAGATAACACTATAGTTTCGTTCACTCACTGTCCAAAATTTTCTCGCTCTCCGAAAAATATGGAGCTGANTCAACATATGCCAGATTATTGGAAATTTTAGACTTGGAGATGTCTATTTCAAGCTTGGAAAGGAGTTGATAGCAAGGCTATCATGTATCACTCATTTGTCTATATGGATTACTTGATTTGCTATAATTAGGACACACGTTTTACACATAAACTCTGATTTCTAAGACTCTTTTCTTGATTTGATATCTATGAAACAATCTTTACTGCGTTGAGGTTAACATAATTCTGTGGCTTAAAGGAATTCATATAAATATGACTTGTTTTTACTAAAGTCATATAACTTTGTTTTCTCATACAAAAATCATATAACTATAACTTTTTTTCATCAAAGTCACATAACTATATTTTCTCACACAAAAATCATAAAACTTTTACTAACTTACACAAAAATCATGAGGATCGAAAAATATAATTTTTTAGTAGTATTTTCTTATTTTGTGATTTTGTTATTTTTTATTTTCAATCTAATAAATAATAATCCAATTAAAATAGGAATGACTCAACCGATCTGGCCCACCCGATCCAATACTCATATATATAAATTAAAATAATACTAAAAGTGAATGGTAAATCCTTCAAAATATGACACTTCTATTTTTTTTTCAAGATTTTTATTCAAATTGATAGCATTTTTATTTCAAGTGTTCTTTAATTATACCTTTTATTTATTTATTTTTTTGTCAGAATTTCATGCATTCCGAACTAAATTTTTTATGGGGGAAGAATTCATTTTTAGTTTTATTTTAACTTACGTATATGTGTATTTGGTCGGGTTGGGTTGGGTCGTTCCTATTTTAAGAGAAAAATATAAAATTAACCGGCCGTCCGAAACTAATTACATTTGCTAGTCAAAAAATATATATATAATGCGTATGTTATATGTGTATAATACACATATATATAAAAAATATTTTATCGGCTATTGTTTTTAGGAGCGGCTAAAAATATACTCATATTTCTTCTATTTTAATTGGGTAATTATTTATTAGACTGAAAATAAAAAATAAAAAACGTAAAATAAGAAAATACTATCGAAAAATTTATGTTCCGACTACTATGATTTTTGTGTGAATTGGTGAAAGTTTTATGATTTTTGTGTGAGAAAATAAAGTTATATGACTTTGATGAAAAAAATTATAGTTATATGACCATTTGTGAAATTTGATGATTGTGATGATTCAAACCACAAGAAAGTTATAATAGATGTAAAGTTACAACTGAAACAACATTCCAGTAACATTAATAAGACAGGAAACAACATAGCCATATAAACCAGCCAATACATAGTTTACATGAGATTGTTTAGCAAGAGTTACTTGAGGCAAATTATATTCTTATTTGAAAGAAGTGTAAAAAATCCCAAGACGATTAATTCATTTAAAAACAGATGGTGCTATTGCCACTGCCTGAACATCCCAATCCTTACTTCTTTGGTCCTACAAAAGAAGTATACATTTGATTCCAATATTTATTTGAAACTACCGAATCCACATTCACTCATGGAGTGTATAGTATAGGAAATAACCAAAAAATAAAAATAGTACAATTTACCCTTTACTACATGAAATATTTTATTACCCTCCGTTATACTGTGGAGCTACTCTAAAGGAATTCCAGCATAGATTGACTAAATTCCCATGTGTCAAAATATTCCGAAAAATTTTCAAATATACACCTCTACTTTTTACTATGGTTTAAAGTTATCCTATGTTATACTTCAAGATGGAGCTTTGCTAGCTTCAAGGCAAATACAAAACCATTTACTAACTCAAGCAAGGGTGTAAATAACCAAAAAGTATAGTGGACGGTAAAATCAAAATATTAGTAAAACACTTTGCTATTCAGGGAAAAAAAAGAATAGGATGAGAATTGCCTGAAACAGAACATATTTAAGTGTTGAATCAATCTTCAACTCCTCCTCAAGCTCATATAAGTGAGACTTCCACTGCAACACAAGGCAAACGGGCGTTAAGAAACATAAATAAGTAAATTTGTGATGGAGTCCATTTTGTTGCTAGAGAAGTATTTATTAAACTTGGAGTAGAATTATTGGTAAAGGAAATGAAATAATGTGAAATGGAACTAACAGGACAAGTTCTTGCTAAAATCACAATTTCTCCACTTGGGTCGACACCCTTTCTTTTTAGAAGAGCGTCCTTGACAATTGACCTTGCTGGTAACCATGATTTTGCGTGGTAATGAATACTCTAGTTATGAAACCAAAAAGTTAAAACAGAACCTAATTAGCAAAACACGTTTCTTCAATAGACCAAAGAATATATTATAAGTAATGGAAAATAGTAAATATGAGAAACTAACTTCTAGAAACTCAGAACCAGCCAATTTCATAGCACGTTCAAAGCCTTGATTCTCCTTTTGAGGGGACTGATCACTGTCATTCCAATCCAAGTTGAATCTTGAAACTCTTGAAGGCAATTGTGTGTTTATTACATATTTCGGGTTCTGGTCTGTGTCATACCGATTAATTCCATTGTCATGTGCATCCACTGCCTGTTAAATACATTAGTTCATTTAGTGCACGCGGATCGAACTATATATACATCTACAAGAAGATTTGAAATGTATACATTTAATAAGATCACACTCATTCTGAACCATTGGAACTAAATCGCGAATTCCCCTCTGTTAGTAGATGCAACTAAAATTTGAAATAAGTACTACAAAATATTGGATTATAAAATGTTAAACATGAAATACTGGTTGATAGCTCTATGAAGTTTTTGTAAACTGCTAAGTACAACCTCTGCACATCTGGATGTTCTTTGTCAAGTTGAGCTTCTTTTGCAATGATCTCTTTTCCAAAATGCTAGAAGTGCAACATTGAATATATATATATATATATAAGAAATAAAAATTGAAAACTAATCAGCAAGGTGTTTGAAATAAATTATAATTTGCTAAGACATTGCTGTGTACCTTGTAAATCAAACCAGCACTGCTAAGCTTAGTAGTGAAGCCAAATAATTCAAAAACTTCCTCAAATCCCTTCTGATGATAATTGTAATGACCCGGCCGGTCGTTTTGAGTGTATTAGCCCCGATCCCCTATTTACTGCTTTCTCCGTACCTGTTTCTGCTTATGTGACTTGCCAGGAGGTCTTGTTTTTGGTTTCAGAGTGTTTTGGGACACTTAATCCCTAAAGCGGAAGCTTAGGCCTTAGGATTTTGACCGTAGTCGGAATTGTATGAAGACGACTCCGGAATGGAGTTCCGTCGGTTCCGGTAGCTCCGTTGGGTGATTTTAGACTTAGGAGCGTGTCCGAACTGTGAATTTGAAGCATGCAGCTAATTTAGGCATGAAATGGCAAAGTCGATTTTTTGGGAAATTTGACCGGGGGGTTGACTTTTTGATATCGGGGTCGGATTCCGATTCCGAAAGTTGGAGTAGGTCCGTAATGTTAAATATGACTTGCGTGCAAAATTTGAGGCAAATCGGACGTGGATTGGTATGATTCGGCATCGTTTGTAGAATTTAAAAATTTCGAAGTTCATTAAATTTGGATTGGAGGGTGATTCATATTTTTGTTGTTGTTTGACGTGTTTTGAGGGCTCGACTAAGTTCGCATGGCATTTTAGGACTTGTTGGTATATTTGATTGAGGTCTCGGGGGCATCAGGATTGTTTCGGATGCTTAACGGGTTGAATTTGGACTTAGGCAAATGGCTGAAGTTTTCTGATATCTGGTGGTTTTGCACCTGCGGTGGGGAGATCGCATGCGCGTACTCGCACGTGCGGGTGAAGGAGCGCAAAAGCGAAAATGGAGGAGATGGCCAGGGGTCACAGGTGCGAGGGTCTTTCCGCATCTGCGAGCCCGTAGATGCGCTCGAAGCTCCGCAGATGCAGAGAGTGAGATGGAGGGGAAGATCGCAGAAGCGGACCTTTGTCCGTAGGTGCGCATACACAGGTGCGACCACTTGCTCGCAGATGCAGACCCAGTCCCTTAAGTCATTTCTGCACCTGCGAGGGAAATTCCGCAGGTGCGACAGTGTGTCCGCAGATGCGGAAGAACTGGGCAAAAAATGGAATTTCGAGGGTTTGATTCCCATTTCGATTTTGTGACTTTGAGAGCTCAGTGTGACGTGATTTTTTGAGGTTTCTTCAAGAAGATTGTTGGGGTAAGTAATTCTAACTCGGATCGGGCTATATTTCATGAATCTATTGCTATTTCCATCATCTAATTAGGGATCTGAGTTGTAAATTTGGGAAAAAAAGGTAGAAACTTTAAAGGCTAAAATTTCGAGTTTTGGAAGGTGATTTGAGGATGGATTCGAGTAATTCTTAGATGGTTGGACTCGTGAGTGGATGGGTGTTCACATTTTGTGACTTTTGTCGGATTTTGAGATGTGGGCATGGGAGCCGGTTTGAGCCTATTTCGGATTTTGGTTTATAATTTCGTATTTTTCTGGTGGAATTGATTCTCTTAAACTATATTAATTATATCGTACTGCTTGTGGCTAGATTCCGGGCGTTCGGAGATTGATTTGAGGGGAAAAGGCATTGCGGAGTAGGATTTTGTGCGGTTTGAGGTAAGTAACAGTTTTAAATCTGATCCTGAGGGTATGAAACCCCAGATTTTAGTATGATGTGACTATTTTGGAGGTGACGCACATTCTAGGTGACGGGCATGTGGACGTGCATCGTGGGGGATTGTGACTTGGTCTGTCACGTGAGACTGTAAAGTCAAATAGACTATTGTTAATTACTTGTTCCCTCTATGTTATAGAGATTTGACTGCAAATCATATTAGAAATCATGCTTAGGCTATGTGATAGTACTGTTGGGACCCACAGAGGTCGCGTACTTGTCGAATTATTTGCTAATTGCTGTCTTGTACTCAGTTATGGTTTTACTTACGCATCATATCTCAGTCTCTTCTTGATTCTTGTTGATACACTATGTTATTTTGTTTGGGCTGATCTTTATGATTTCTGAGAGCCCGAGAGACAGGAGAGGTTGGTGACTGAGTTAGGGCCTGAGTGCCGAGCTATGAGCTATAGGTATGTATATAGATCGGGTTGCATGCCGCAACGAGCCTGAGGGCTATATGTATATGGATCGGGTTGCACGCCGCAGCGAGCCTTAGAGCTGTATATATATAAATGGATTAGGTTGCACGCTGCAACGAGCCTTATGGCTATTTATATATTATGGGATTGGGCTGCACGTCACAATGATATAGCGCTTGGGCTGAAGGAGCCCCTCCGGAGTCTGCACACCCCCAGTGAGCGCAGGTACCTATTGAGTGTGAGTACTGAGGGCTGAGAGCCGAGTGACTGAGTTGTTGTGACGAGTTAAGTGACTGTTGCCCTGAGAGGCTGTACTTTCCTTTTCATTTGTTGATGCACCAAGTTGCTATCTGTCATTGTCGTGAAATTTCTGAAATATTCTATATCCGAATTACCTGCACTGTAATTGTATAAAACTGATTTGATTTGAACTGCCTGATTTGAAAGAATGTCTATTCTTTGCTGGAATTATTGAAAATGAACTGTATTTGTATAGCTCGTCACTACCTTCTCAGTTTCTTATTTATTTATGTTACTTGCTGAGTTGGTTATACTCATGCTACACCATGCACTTCATGTGTAGATCCAGGTGTGTTTGATCACGGAGGTCATTAAGTTCGTGCGCGATCGAGTACCGGAGACTACGAGGTAGTTGCCGGCGTCCGCAGACCTTGTCTCTCCTTCTATGTTTTCTTTCTTTTCTGTATTGATACTTAGACACAATTTGTATTAGACTGGATATCTAGATGCTCATGACTCAGTGACATCCCGATGTCGGGCTATTTTTTCGCACTTATGCTTTGGGTTTTACCTCGTTCTTTTTTTTTTAATGAAAGACTCCGGTCATTTTAAATATATTAATTCATTTCTGTTAAATGTTGTATGTATTTTGGAGATGTCGGCTTGCCTAGTATCACGATAGGCGCCATCACGACGGGTTAGGTTTTGGGTCGTGACAAGTTGGTATCAGAGCCTAGGTTATATAGGTCTCATGAGTCATGAACAGGTTTAGTAGAGTCTTGCGGATCGGTACGGAGACGTCTGTACTTATATTCGTGAGGCTGCCGAACCCTTAGGAAAAACTTCACACTCTTGAATTCTTGTCGTGCGAATCTGTTGATTCTGGTGACTAAATTTCTGTTGTTCTAGTTCTCTCACAGATGGTGAGGACGCGTACTACGGGGCAGGATGGACATCTACCAGTACCACCAGCCAGGCCTGCGAGAGGCCGAGGTTACAGTAGGGGCAGAGGTGCAACCCGCACATCAGCTGGGGCAGTACCTGCAGACCCACCATTTGCCCCAGTTCAGGAGCAGGCTCCAGTTGTGGACGAGTCTGTGGGACCAGCTCAGGCACCACCCGCGCCCATTGTGATTCTAGGCCTTCAGGAGGCCTTAGCTCAGATTCTGACCGCGTGTACCAGTATTGCTCAGGCGGTCTCTGTTCCGGCCACAGGAGACACTTCTTAGGCCGGGGGAGGTGCTCAGACTCCCGCCGCCCGCACACCAGAGCAGGTGGTACAGGGATTCCAGACACCGGGGGCACCACCAGCCCAGCCGGTTTCCGCTGCTCAGGATTATGTTGTTCTTGCTATGCCTGAGGATGAGCAGCGTAGATAAGAGAGGTTTGGGAGGCTCCGGCCTCCATCTTTCAATGGTGCAGAGGGAGATGATGCACAAGGTTTCTTGGACAGGTGTCAGAGGATACTTCGTATGGCAGGTCTTCTGGAGACTAGTTGGGTCTCGTTCACTACCTTTCAGTTCTCAGGGGCTGCATTCAGTTGGTGGGAGGCTTACGAGAGGCGTAGTCCGGTCGGCGCAACACCCCTTACATGGCAGCAATTCTCCATTCTTTTCTTGGAGAAAGGTTCATGCCTTAGTCTCGCAGAGAGGAGCTGCGTAGGCAGTTCGAGCAATCGTCAGGGTGATATGTCCGTGACGCAGTATGAGATGAGATTTTCTGAGTTGGCCCATCATGCTATCTGATTGGTTCCCACAGACAGAGAGAGGATCAGGAGGTTCATAGATGGCCTCACTTTTTAGCTGCGATTGCTTATGACTAGAGAGAGAGTGTCTAGTGCTACTTTTGATGAGGTTGTCGACATTGCTCATCAAATTGAGATGGTTCGCAGCTAGAAGAGGGTTGAGAGAGAGGCCAAGAGGCCTCATGGACAGGGTAGATTTAGCGGTGTTCCTTCTGGGGGCAGTTCCACCACGGTAGGGGTCGTCCTTTCAGACATGCTCAAACGGCTCGCCCAGTTCACCGTAGTGCATCATCTGGCCATGGTTCACACAGTTATCAGCAGGGCCATTCATCTCTCAGTGCCCTCCCATCTCAGAGTTCGTCCCGTGCTCCATCAGGTCAAGGCTCGTCTAGGCCAGGTCCTTCTACTAGTTATCCCGATGCTCGGGGCTCCCTTCAGTCCCCAGCACCAGCACCGGGGAGTTGCTATGAGTGTGGAGAGTTTGGCCATACCAGAAGACATTGTCCCCGCCTTACGGGAGGTCCCGCTCAGTAGAGGAACCAGTCTATGACATCAGCACCAGTATCTTCACCACTCGCTCATCCAGCTCGGGGTGGAGCCCAGTCAGCTAGGGGTCGCCCGAGAGGGGGAGGCCGATTAGGGGGCGGCGAGGCCCGTTTCTATACTCTTCTTGCCAGACCAGATGCCATTGTTTCAGATGCTGTGATTACAGGTATTGTCTCAGTTTGCCATAGAGATTCCTCTGTATTATTTGACCATGGTTCCACTTATTCATATATGTCCTCGTATTTCTCTCATTATCTATTTATGCCCCGTGAGTCTCTAGTTGCATTTGTTCGTGTATCCACTCCAGTGGGCGATACTATCATTGTGGACTGTATATATCGGTCATGTGTGGTGACTATTAGGAGTCTGGAGACTAGAGTGGATCTCTTGTTGCTTAGTATGGTCGATTTTGACATGATTTTGGGTATGGATTGGTTGTCTCCATGTCATGCTATTCTAAATTGTCACGCTAAGACTGTGATATTAGCGATACCGGGGTTGCCGAGGGTTGAGTGGAGCAGCTCCATAGACTATGTTCCCAGTAGAGTGATTTCATACTTGAAAGCTCAACGGATGGTTGAGAAGGGTTGTCTATCTTATCTGGCCTTTGTGAGGGATGTTAGTGCAGAGGCTCCTGCTATTGATTCTATTCCGGTGGTGTGAGATTTCCCGGATGTGTTTTCTGCAGACCTACCGGGCATGCCGCCCGACATGGATATTGATTTTGGTATTGATTTGGTGTCGGGCACTCAGCCCATTTCTATTCCACCGTACCGTATGGCACCGACTGAGTTGAAAGAGTTGAAGGAGCAGCTTCAGGAACTCCTTGATAAGGGATTTATTCGGCTTAGCATGTCACCTTGGGGAGCACCAGTTCTATTTATGAAGAAGAAGGATGGTACTATGAGAATGTGTGTTGATTAGGACAGTTCAACAAGGTCACAATCAAGAACAAGTATCCTTTGCCGAGTATTGATGATTTGTTTGACCAACTTCAGGGAGCGATGGTGTTCTCCAAGATTGACTTGAGGTCAGGGTATCACCAGCTAAAGATTTGGGACTCAGATATTCTTAAGACAGCTTTTAGGACACGGTATGGCCATTATGAGTTCCTTGTGATGTCTTTTGGGCTGACCAACGCCCCAACAGCGTTCATGCATCTGATGAACAGTGTGTTTCGGCCTTATCTTGACTCGTTCATTATTGTATTCATTGATGACATCCTGGTGTACTCTCGTAGCCAGGAGGAGCATGCCCAGCATCTGAA